TACATATTGTCGTTTGAATGTACGAGCTATGCGCTGGCAGCAGCGAGCTCGTCCTATGAATGGCCGCTATCGACTGTCGTCGTCCACGCTGTCCTCGTCGCCGTCGTCGTCGTCGTCGTCGTCGACATCGTCGTCGTCGTCGTCGTCGTCGTCGACGTCGTCGTTGTCCCCGATGACGACGCTTTTACCGTTTTTCATGTGGCTCTCGCGTGATCCACGTGATCCTTTTCCACGGATAACCCTCGGCGTTTCTCCTCGATGTTACTTGCACGATGATCGATTCTCGCTCGTACGTATGTTCGTTCTCGAGTCTCAACGATCGGTTCGGACTCCCGAACGTCGTAAATCGAGTGAACGACGATCGATTAATCATCGTCGTACGTTCTTTCGTTTCCGGCTCGGATTTACGGAAGCGAAACTTCGGGCTCACGATTGTTTTAGGATCGATTGTACTAGCAGGTGCGCGATATGTCGAGAGGGCGAGCCGGATGAGCGCAGGGCGTGATCGGAGGGCGATGTCTTCCACACGAACGTTGATCGTTTCACGCTGTATATAGAGATGGAATAAATGGCATAAGAAGCGATTGAACGCTCACATACGTAACGGTGGGAGCTTATATTTTCACGAAAGATGCCGTTTCTTCATCTTTATTGAAGCAATTGCCTGGTTACAGTATCTGTAACTCCTCGCGATGTCGTTCGACTATTAAAGTTTATTGCGAAAGATATTTGCTCGTTTTTGTTTGCATGCAGCTTTACCATTATATAGTTACCGCTCATTCCTGTCTCATACTTTCTTTGATATATTTGTATCTCGTTATAATTACAGTTGCTCTAGTAAATATTGGAGTTTTAATTCACCGCAGTAATAATTCTTGAATAATATAAATAAGAGAGATCCGTATGTATATAAATGACATTCTCACGTGAAGTTTGTATGTATATTATGGCATAAAAGGATTTAAAAAAATCCTTTATTATGGCATAAAAGGATAAAAAAATTTTTTATCGCGGCTTAAAGTCTACACTACTTAAAGTACACTGGGATTAAGAAAACGGAGCTTCCGTTTTCCAATTTAAAACATTGTTTCTTTATGTCGTCTTAAGAAAGATAAAATAGAAACAAAAGTTACAAAATAACTGTAATCTCGGCATCAAGTTATGTTGATTGTGGAGATTGTGGTAACAGGAGCGAAGCGACTGCGAAATGCATAAAGTTTCCACTGTCTACGAAATGACAATACCGTTCGTTTCCAAAATCGCTTCGTTAAAGCCAAATATTGCCCTTTTTCAAGTTTGAAGCAAGAAGCCCGTCGATCGGAATCCGACTGAAGGAACGTGCATACTCACCGAACTATCGCCCGTTCTCTATAGCCAGCCGCTTCGAAAAACTCAGTCAGCCGGACGAACCCGAAGTAGCGAAAGTTTCTCGAAACTCCGGCGGCGTGGCCGGGAACGGGCGAGATTGAAATACATTCGCGTTTCGCTTCTCCTTTTTCTCCTCTTTCCCGCCCGCTCCCGCTCCCTCTCCGTTTTTCCCGTCAGGATTCGTTGCCTTTATCCCGGTGCGCCACGTCGGATTTGTAATTCGGCGACTCGGCCCGAGCCTGACGTCGAGTTCAAAAGCAGATAAAGTTCAAACGCGGCCGGCGTGTATCCCCGAGGACTAATTTACACGGTTCAATTTTGATGATTAGAATTCCAGATAAAAATCATTGAAAGTAAAAAAAGCCATTGATCTTATAAAGTGGAAGAACTTTAATTCCTTTTAAATTGGTAGAGAGAGCTTTGAATCTTTTTTTTTATATCGTATAGCCAATTCTAGATAAAGTTTAAGGACTCTCTCTCATTTTCTCTTTCTCTGCTTCTTAATTTATTATATAATATACAAAATTAAATCTATATATGGCTAACAATATTTTTAATTTAAATTTGACTTGAAGAAATTAAAGCTCCTATAATAAATAAATCATAAAAAACTAAATAGTGCCTATGTGGATGATGATGTGTAATAATTTTTATTGTTACAATCAAACCACATACAAACTGCGCACCGCATTTATTGTCTTGAAACACAGTTCTGATGTGCTCTCTTTCATAATATGCTCTCTCTCTCTCTCTCTCTCTTTCTTTCTCTTTTTCTTTTTCTCTTTCTCTGTATCTCTCTTTAGGAGACATCGTCTTAGAATGCCGAATAAATATTGAATCAATCAATCTTTTTCTCTTAAATTATAACGTTTAAAAAAATCTTTTCAAATGATATAAAATGTATATTTCTTTCTTTCTTCTTCTTGTAAAACAGAAAATAATGATGCAACATGCAAATAATATCTGGAACAGATCCAATCTGTGTTTTCATTCATTGCGTAATTATCCGCAATGGATTATTCAGGGGAAACCATGTAAACATTTCATCCCAAGTGACTAACGTAGTAAAGCGTCGGAAAGCTTCCTTCCGCGGCTGGTTATATTGCAGGGATGCGCAACTCGAATGTTAAAGCGAACTATATTCAGTTTAAATTAAAATTAATTGAGTCACATTATCAAGTTTGTTTCAATAGTTTTATTGTGAGTAATATGATTCGAATTTGTGCCATTGTTAATGGCACATATTCGAATCTAGAAAGTCCATTTTCTGTTTGCGAATTTTGTATCATGGTTTAAATAAAAGATTATTTTAATTAACTTAAATTAAGCAAATATATTATATTTATGAGACGAAAGATTGTGCATTCTATTTAGAAAATTTTTTTATTCTCTTTCTATTTAAAAAGTTTTTTTTATATATTATTTATTTTGAAATATCAAAAAAGCGTTTCTTTACAGTTGCAAAACATATTTTTCTAAAGTAAGTAAATATAAATAAATTTAAAATTTTTGTGAACAAATTTTTTAAGATTAATACTTGTTCATAAATTAAGAAATCTGATCTTTGTTTAATATTATTTTTTATCTTAAATTATGTGGAATTCTTTAATTTTTAAATGATTTCTTCATTAAATAAGTCATTTTCTAATTAGGATAGTAATGCTTAAAAAGCATATTTTTAATACTTAAATAGCGTTAAAAATTAAAAATTTGATATAATAGACAATGATATACAATAAATAATATTATAATAAATAGCAATAAATGATATTATACAATAATGAGAAAAACTATGTTGTAATAAATACTGAAAGCAAGGGAATTAAGAAAATACAATTACAAATTAGAGTGTATGATAAAAATAATGTAATGAGCTTGCATGTTGATAGGGATGCAAGTGTTTTAATTCTGACGCTTAGTATCTCTCCTCTTGTCAAGTAAAGAGTGCAAGATAAACACGTGCGAAAGATTCTGTCCCTCTCTCGGAAGAGAGTTTGTATGAAGCATTTCAGAGGCGTATGCTTTTCGCAACTACATCAGTCCCTGAGGAGTATAAGAGCGCGTAAATCCGTAAATCGGCTTGTTACTCATTGCAGCTCCCCTTGGCATTTTTGCATGAAGGACCTATCAGGTTGTTAACGTTGAAGAGAAGAAGATAAAAAAGAAATTATTACTACACGCTATGTTTCATAAAATGAGTAACAAAACAGGCTGTTATTCATGAAAACTAATAAAATGTAAGCTTTTGATTTCCGATAAAAAAAAGTACGCAATATATAATTACATTTACATGAAAATGTTAATCTTTATATTTATATTTTTTAAATTTAGAATAATATATAGAAAAAAGGTTTACGTAAAACACGTTCCTACAATATCTTCTTGCTTTATCACGTTCCTACTGGGTTTCTACTACAATTATTAATTAAGAAATGTCAAGAATTGCGCACTTTATAAATTTATAAATTTATACAGCAATTAATTCGTTAGCTTTTGTGGTGGGTTTCGAATATTTCGTAAAATTAATCTAGTTGCAGGCAATCCAGGACGCGGCTATGAGAGTGCCACTGCAAGGGTTACACGAGGGCCTCAAGGGCTGCAACTCGTAGAATTTGAAAGTTTAGATTGCACCTCCGCGCCTTGGTCCCGACCAATTGGTTTAGTAGTTTCGACCAGTATAACAATGGCGGAAAATGTCGGAATCAGGACGCACTGGTCGTGGGAGCGATCTTGAGGCATCTCAAACAAACTTTGTTATTCTGTTTGCTTCAGCTAGAAATGTTATCATTTTAAAATTGTATATTATGCTGCAAAAATAATTTAATGTTTAACCGTTGAGTCCCGTTAACCTTCTAGAATTATAAAATAATAACTTCTTTAGTTTTTAATGCTTAAATAGCATTAAAAATTAAAAATTTAATATAATAGACAATGATATTATATATAAATAAATTGCAATAAATGTTAATATTAATAAATATTATTATATAATAGATAGTAAGAAAAAATATGTTGTAATTTTTTTTATTTGCGTACTTAACTACTTTTATTTACAAACTTAATATTTGAAACATTAATTTTAATGTCAATTTGAGAAACTTTGATGGTTACTTAATTGACAAAAATACACATTTGTGTATATTTAAGTAAATAATTTTAACTTAAAAGTGTAACAAGTTATTTGTATTACGATGTTTCACAAACGTAAATCTCTACTGTTAAAAATAAATATTTTTTTTATCTGAGCACGAAATTGATAGTGCGACTATTTACAAAGTAAAAACGCAATATATACTAGGTATGTGTACCACTGGCTTACCAAAATTTTTGTTTTATCGCATATAAATTGTTTTTGTTTTTTAAGTTACACTAAACTACTTTATTGTCAATATCTCTTTTTTATGTAAAAGTGATCAGTTTACAGAATTCAACAATTTATATACAATATTTTTATACTTTACAGTACCAGTGTACATATCTAAAGTAATTTATTAAATTTTTTTATACAAATATCTCTTCTCTTTGCTTTATTATCAAAAAGATGTATACGATAATTTCTTTGCACCTACATAATTTTCGCATCATGTATTTTGCATAGTAGACTAAAAGAATTTCTTTTTTTAATGTTGCAGGTTTGAGACAGCGCCCTACGGAATCTCCGAGAGGAGGTGAGTTTTATATAATTAATCTATTTTTTAAGAAGAAATGATTATTACGGGCAGGAATTTACGTTTTTTCGAATGATAATATGAATATAATATTACTTGGAGCGGTACTCGCTCGCTTTCTGTTATTATAATATTTTAATTATAAAATTTTAAACGCAATTTCTGAGATATTAGAGAAGAATTGAATTTTTTGGAAGAGTGAATAATAATGATACGATATTATTTTGATATTATTATTTCGTTTTATACCAAGGATGTTTCTACTCGATCATTTGCGTTCTACGGATTATGTTTACGTTGCAATATTAATTACATTTATTATCACTGTATTAACGTAAAATAATAATATTATCATAATTATTATCGTAATAATGTTTATTATTCATCACGATTACCGTGCCACCGATTGAGCATGTAACCATGCGATTTACACCGCGCGTGGACTGTGTGTGCTACATCGAGCGTATGTAATCCGGCGCGCGATAAAGAATACAGGAATACCGATTCGATTTAACGAACTCTATGAGCATAAAATTTAATTCGGAAATGTGCGTCCGCACGAAATACTGCGAGCGCGCGGGCTAAACGCGAGTGTTAAAACTCATGATCGCTTGTACTACATCCCGGCGCGCTCATTAGCGTAATTAGCGTATAAGCCATTCGCGTTCTGCGGGCCCAGGACTGCCGGGGACAAACGCTAGCACGTCACTTCATTAACTCGCGAATCGTATGGAACAAAAAATGTTAAAGCGCGATCAAAAGGTATCGTTAAATTCGATTCGCTTTCTCGTAACTTTATCGCGTCGCTCTCGATCGAATGCGCGCGGTATTCGCGCCGTATTCCGCAATAAAGCGTCGATTCTACAAATCTTCTAATTGCATTTTTTTTAACTGCGAGGGAATATAGCACGGCGTCGCTACTGTGTTTCGTGCCGTTTCCCTGCGTCATAATTCCGCACAGAAATCCGCTTTAAAAGCAGCGCCGCGCTTTGCGATCGCGCGATGCAGCGTGCGAAATGACGCGTCCGAAGAGAATATGTTATGGATTTCGCGACGAGCTCTGTGTGAGTGCTTTATCGGTACATTACGCCCGTACAAGCGGCCGCTCGCGCTTTACGCGTCGGTCATGGGGTTCACAGAAGAAAATTGAAGCGGGGCGTTAGCGGCTTTTCGCGCGTTCGTTTTCGGCGCACACAGACCCGAGGTTGTCTCTTCCCGTCGCTATAAAAAACGCGCCAGTTTTTCGACCCCTCGACTGCGCGCGCTGCAGCGTTCGTGACGCTAAAAAATACACGACCGCCGTACTGCGGCACGCGAATTATTTCCGATGAGTTTGATTTTTATTCGGGCTCGTGACATTACTCTTTCACGAAAACAATCGAGTTTCGTCCGCACGAGCGTGTAAACACGCGCTCTATTTCAACCCTAATTCAGATTGCTATTAATCGAGTTGCCGATTTTTGTCCCTCTCCTTTTTCCTGATTGCGCAATCGTACGCAACGTAAATGGATTTGGCTTTTAGTTTTAACACATATATAATTAATTCCGTCCCGCTTCGTGCATAGATACGCTCAGATAAAATTAAATAAAGCTGGAGTATAAAAGTGACTTTTCATTTTATTAAAACGATATTAACATCAATTGTAATCATATTATATTTTCTGAGAATTCACTTTCATAGAAAGCTAAAAACTGCGAACAATTGTTCTCTTCAATCGTGTCTTAAAATAACAGGTATCAAAAAATAAGCAAAGTTTCGTCACGAAGTGATTGATAAAGGCACGTTCTTTTTTTTTTTACCATACGCGTTTTTCATGAGCGGCAATCTACGGTAATGTAGCGCGTGACATTATTCAAATTGAATCATTCGTACCGATTCGTAGTCGTCGCCGTCGTTCGCCCTCGATAACGCTGTTCCACTGATTTCTCGAGTCGCGAATTCGCGCTGGAAATTCGCTATTTATCGGAGAGGACCAGAACATCTCTGGTGCGAGTCGTTAAAAAGTAATGTATTCCGTTAGCGGCACACAGGCAGGCGGAATACCGACGAGAAAGCGGGGGGAGGGGGGAGGGGGGAGGGGGTCCTTTTATGCCAACAGTTCTCGTACGGATGTTTTCGTCAAAGGACACGCATTTTCCCTGCAGCTGTTCGGTAAGCGGGAGCAGGGAAGGGGAGGAGGGGAAATCTCTTGAGCTTGGGTCTTGCTCTCTTATGGAAAGCTAAATTGCCCCCGTCTTCCCCGACGACATCTCTGAATTTTTAGTTCGTTTCTGAAGTGTTCCGCTATCTGCACGTTCATTCGCGCGGTCGCGATGCCACCGCAAACGTCTGACGAATCAGACGCTCAGCTTAACTCAACGTTCGATATTTCCTAGAGTGCGAGAAAAGCTTTCTGCGTGTAGACTTTAAATACTTATTTATATGATGATATATATGATGATTAGATATATTTGCGTTGCGTACTACTTATAAGTTCTTATATCTAAAAAAAATAGAATAAGAGAGAAGGCAACAATATTATTAGATTAGTTCCTTCACGACATTTTAATTTGAAATAATCCTTTCATTTCCATCCAAGTGGAAGAATTATTTTCGGTTTATACATATACATATATTTAAAACATTGAATATCCATATATTCTATATTAATATCTTTCAGTATTTATTACATATATCACACAAACGCGATTTTTTTGGGATAGCTAACGGTAGAAATATCACTGGTGGTATTCACATCTTTTTTAAAGCACAGAAATAATGCATTCTCTAACAAAAATAATATTCTTGTTTTATTCTTTTTTTAATTAGCTTAAAATAACGATTTTTTAATACAATCTGTTCTGTAATAGTGCGCAAAATTCTATTCAGCTTCCTCTCACTCGTATTCATTGTATTTATTCTTTGCGCGTCACAGCCTTTATCTGCACAGCGCACATTTTATTCAAATTCGCGGTAAGATGATGCCTGTGTACGCCAAAACACGGCGATAAATTCTGTCGAGTGCGCGATCAATTTGCCGGCGGAATGACTTAATTTAAACAACGGCGTACGGAAGTCTCTCGTGTAATTACCGTCACAACCGAGGTTTTGTTTCGTATCTACAACAGATTCATGCGGTACAAGACGCACAAATGTCACGCTCACTGATACGGTATACCTCTTCCGGCTCTCGTTGTAATTAAGACCAAACGATATTCGCCGTTTTGCGAAAGCTGAAATTTTGTCACGATTGGCGATAGCGTACGTGAGAAGCATTTCGAGCATTTTTTTTGCGACACCAGTTAAAGAAAAAGAAGTTCTGATATATTCTAATAACAATAAACTGTGAGAACTGTGAATTTTCCAAATTCATCTTATACTTTTGCATCTCACTCGTCACTTTGTTTTATTGTGCCACTATAATGATTTTCATCATACACGTTTGGCTGGAAAATATTCGCCGCGTATGAAGAGTTACTGCAAACTTAGTAACTGTCGTCAATTTAGGACAACAAACATGTTAGCTTATGTAAAGCGAGAAAGTTACGCGCTTCCATTTTACGCTCAGAAGAGAATATTATTCTTAAAAGTTGAATTTTAGCGTCTCTCGCCGTCGCGGAAAACTCAGGGATCTTCACTTGAATTGTCCTAATAACGCTATTCAGCGTTGCGTTCTATTTTCGCGTAGGACGTCTTTGACGATTCGTTTCGCGTGTTCGCGCAGTGTACATGTATACGTATACCTAGGAGATTCGAGTCGCCGCTTTTCACGGTGGGTAACGTTTGAATCTAACGCTCGTATCTAATTCTGTTTAGCGGAGTGGCCGAGATACGTTGACGGCGCGGCGCCGCACACCACGCCGCGTCACACCGCGACGCGGCGTGCCTGCTTGCGGGAAAGTTTAAATTATCCTGTCCGCCGGGAGGAAGTGTCTCTCTCCTCCGCGGGGAGAAACGACTCGGATTGGTCGAGTCTGATTAGTTCGGCGGTCCCGCTCGTTTTATCCCTACTTTGCTCCACTCTATCTCTGTTTCTCTCTGTCTCTCTTTCTCTTTTTTTCTTTTTTTTCTGTCGTCGTCCTTTCCGCAGTTTGATAACTATCGCGTTAAACTAAAGGGACTAGTAGTAATGCATCTAGTCAAGGTGTTACTACAGGTTTCTTTCCGAACAAACTATATGTAACCGAAAGTTGCGAGATCTGTCAGCGAATGATGCCACGTTTATCTCGGATTTTCTCATTTTCCTTCTCTTCTTTCTCGTTCTCTCCCCCCCTCCCTCCCTGAACGTACGTTTCCTCCTCTTCCTTTTAGAGCGAATACGTGGTATTATACCGTGTAGCCGCGGAATAACGACGTTCCTCGCTTTCTGTTTAATCAAACCTCCTCGACTAACATCTCGATGGTTTCGGAAGCCCGTATCAATTCACATAATGAACGCCCGGAAGGTGTAGAAGCGGCTTTATGGATCTCGAACCCGTCTCCCGAGAGACGCGGTCGGCTTGGTTTAATCAGCTGGCGGATATTCCTACGATATACACAGCAAATTCCGAATCTAGTCTCCAAAGTGGCGGGATATAATGCAAATGGAATTCCTCCAAGTCATCGGAAGTTTCTTAATGCGCAGAAATGATCACCTGGAAATTTCTTTAACAGAAAATAGCTGCCACGAGCTCGTTGCGCGATAGAATAGAAACGTTATTCTGCTACTTGAAAGCCGTAAAGCGGTAGAAGTTGTCTAAATGGAAATTTGAATATGATATATATATATATATATATATATATATATATATATATGTGGAAAAGTTTGATCTCGTATCTCGATCGGCTTCGGGGAACCTAAATGCCAACCGTGCGAGCGAGTAAATGAAAGGGCCGTAATAATAACGTTACGTATGCGGAATATGAAAATGTGTAATGCGGAATGAGCGTCCAGGGAGTCGCCACCTGTGTGGTGACGACCCGGATCAGGCCTGGTGCGACGGTCGCTTCGTGCCGCTGCCATAAACTATCGCTTCCGGTA